GCGGCGGCGGCGCGCAGGGAGCGGGCGAGGAGCATCGTGCGGGACCGGGCGGAGGGCGAGCACTGCCCGCCCCGGAACCGCGCTCCGCTTCCGGCCCCGGCGGGCCCCGCGCGGGCCTCGCAGCCGCGGGTTCGAGTCCCGACCCCGGCTAAACGGAGTGTGCCAACGGGGATTCTTGGTTCCTGGGATCCCTGACAATGGAATGGGCAGGGATGGCACGGACACAGCACCCGTACAAGTCCCTAATCGGCTGAACTCATAAAGAGATCTTTAGGAACGTGGGAGACATGAACAGGTTTTATCCCAGACATCATCCCACTCCTAATCAGAACTGCCAATGTTCCAGCCAGAGCGTGGCGGTCTCCTCAGAAAAAAAAAAAAATGAATGGCTGGAGGGGTTTTTGTGTATTTTAGAGGAAACAGTGACTAAGGCAGCATTTCCTGGCACCAAGCCTTCCCTTTGTCCAAAAGCTGGCACTAGTGCCCACTGTGGAGGAGGAGCACAGAAGGCTCATTTACTGCTCACTGCAAGGCAGGAGAAGGAGAGCATCTGTCCCATCTCCATCAAAGGGATACCACCCCATCAAAGGACCAGAATTTTAACTCTCAATTCTAACAGGAGTCTGAGCACTGCAGATGTAAATGGCAGAGCCCATTCTGCACAAGAAGCACAGATTCACCGTGCTACCTTCACATCTTTAAGCCGAGACTGCTGACAATGAACACACTCCCACGAGACCCATAAACACCAGGACTGCTCCTACCACCATTTGTTCTGTGCCTCACAAACCACCACGCAGGATTCGCATTTTCACCATCAACTTCTTTATTCCGCAAAAAACATATAAACCCGATCTAAATAAATACCCGTCCCGTTCCTTAAGGTTATAAAAAACACGGTTATTTTTAAAAAATGCAATGAATATGTAAGTCTTTCAAGGCCTAGCTGTCCCACGTGGCTCAGCTGCTGGCCGTGCGGAGTTTCCTGCGGAAGAAGTCGGGCGCGGCCTCGTGCAGCCACTGCGCGTCCACCAGGCACAGGTCGCGCATGTAGCAGCGGTTGGTGCGCAGCAGCGCGTTGTACACCACGCAGGCAGGCTTGCACTGGAACAGCACCGAGGAGGGGTGGATGGCCACCGCCTGCTGAGAGTCCACCGTGCTGTAGGAGCCGTCCGGCCGCAGCTCGGCCGCGTTCATGAACAGGCTGTGGGCCAGGCAGCGCCGCACGCTGGCCGTGTCCCCGCGGCAGGACTCGAGGGGCATCGACAGCTGGGGACACAAGAGTGAGCAAGAACGACCTGCACACATACTGTGGTGGCAGCTCTCTGGTCAGAGAGAGAGAAAGCTAGATAAGCTTTCCCATGAGTCAGCTTCTCCCATGAGAAGCTTTAGGGAGGTGGAGAGAAAGATTCTAAACAATCTGCACCTGGTGTTTTGTAATAAGCTGTTTTGCCTGTGAGGTTGTTTACAAATGGGTGTCTTGTTAATTAGCCAGTCATGTGAAATGTATTGATTAAAGGACCAATCAGGTCCACCTGTATCGACCAGTGTATAAAAGAAGCTATTTCAGTGAAGCTGGGGCTTCTAGCCTATAAGCCTTCTGACCTAGAGTCTGTGTCACTCATTACCCAGTCCTGACCCTCATGAGCAGTGACACCATTTCACTTCAGAAATCCTGGAGGGTTTTCCTGTGTCAGAATGCTGGGGGACCACTGGGAATTCAGCTTGAGTGGATGCCAGGCTAAACCAAACTAAGAGCCAACAGAAGGGATTGTCACACTCCTTCAGGAAGGGAGTTGAAGGCCAGCCAGCATTCACAAATGATGTCCCAGAGGGTGGCTCCCCTGTCACTACACACTTCCAGGGGTTCAGAGGCAGCTCCCACGCTGTACCCAGCAGGAACAGCACTGAGGGGAAGCTGCTGCCACACTGAATGCCTGATCCATGGAGAAGCCAGCCAGCACAGGCTGATAACACTCTGTGGCACACACAGCACAGTCCCATGTGCATTAGAGCAGGAAAAACCCCTAGGAAAACTTGTCCTTTCCCTGAGAAGCCTTCTCAGAGGTTCCCAGTTCTCCTTGACCCACTAAGCCCTGCGGCTTTAAGATTTTGGGATGCTACTGTACAGCCAGGAATTTTAGCCAGCTGTTTACAGGAGACTGAAAACAATCCCCCATTTTCTCACTTGGGACTTGGTGCACAGTAACATCAGTTTGGGGACAAACAGGAAAATACCAACAGGTGAAACAGAGAAATGCAATATGGAGGTAAATTACCTTTACACAAATGTCCCTGAGCTGAGCTCTGACTTCTGCCATCAGCTTCATGTTCCTGCCATTGATGAAGTTCTCTCTGCACCATCCCTGCAGCAGGATAGGAGGAGTTAGAAGGGGATTTTTCTTCACCCCATGAGCATGACAGCCTTTAGATACTATGAAAGGCAGAATCCCCCTACAATCTGCCTCAGAGAAAACATGCTGACCCCTTCCCTGGTCATATTTCTACCCCCCTTTACTCCACTATGTCTAGATTCTCTCCCACACTGCTCAGAAACAGCAGGTGATGGTTCTTTTCCCATTCAGAGCTGCTCTGCAAGGCCGCCAAGAGCTGCAGAACAGCACTTGATATCCTGCAGGGGGTGAAAACAAATCAGGTAAGAACGACAGGTGCTTCAAGGAATGGGGTGCATGAGTCCACAGATCCACAAATCAATATGAGGGGTAGGATAAATCCAGATCTGCTTTTAAATATGCTCAGTGGTTTTCCAATGAATCCTGTCACAGAGCATGTCAGATATTTATTTATCAAGTCTCAACACTCCCCCAGTCCCTCTGTTTCCAGCTGGACCCAGGGAAGGAAAAGCCTTGGCTGTGATTACAGACAGATATTTATCAAGTCTCCACACTCTCCCAGTCCCTTCTGTTTCCAGCTGGACCCAGGGAAGGAAAAGCCTTGGCTGTGATTACAGAACTGGCCCCACAAAGCTTTGCCAGAGCTATCTGTCCAAACCTTTGTTACACAACTTCCTCCAATCCCACAGTTGTAAAGCATGGGCCCTCTTTTCTCTCAGCTCTGGAGGATGCCTGTGGCACCAGCCAAGGAAGATGCAGGTGTCACTCTGCTCTGCTGAAATCTCCTCACCCCATGAGCTCAGACAGCACTGGCAGCTCAGATCACCTCACCTTGTGCCCGTTGACGTTCTTGTAGGCCCTGTACACGTTGAGCAGGGTCAGATGATCCCCCTCACTGGAGATGAATTTCTTCCTGACAGCCTGCACCTCATCCCGCTGGGCAGGGGGGTTGTGGAGGACACTGTCCACTGATAACAGCGCCACGATGGTCAGGATCTCCTCTGCACAGTGGAACTTGGGCGACAGGAGGATGGCCTGCACAGACACAACAAAACCCATCTTTGGTCGACCAGCTCCACTGCAGCTGGGCAGATCTTTCTGCTCCCTGACAGCCCAGGAACTGGACCAAACATTGTTTAGGACAATCTCAAACATCTGGGCCTAGGAACAGCTGTAAATCCTCTGAGGGGCTCAGCAAGCACCTGTAACAGCACCTGCCAAGCTCCTCCCTGAGACTGCCCAGTGCACAACCAGCACAAACACAGTGACTGAAACCAACTACAGCAACAGACATCTCATGGACCTGCTAAACAATCCTGAAAATGGCAAGCAAATCTGCCTGTTCGCCTTCAGAGGTGCCAGAGTAAAGAAATTATCTTTTAAAAAACTTCTCTGAATTTAACAACAAATGACAAGCAATCCATCAAAAGGGCTGTAAATTATGCACATTAATGTATAACAAATATACCAGTACAGCTGCAAACACCCCAAATTTCACACCTTGTTTAAGGAGTTTCAAAGAGAAACATCAATGGTACAGAGATGAGTACATGAGATTAAAAATGTTAATTTTTCTGCAGTTTTTACCTTGGAGAACTTTGGATCTAGGGGAAAGGCTGCCATTTTCTTTCCCAGGGGTGTCAGGACAAGCTGACCTTCCTTTTGGGTCACAGCTCCCAGCAGGTCCAGCTGATCAATTGCTGCTTGGATAGCATCTGCCAAAACAAGGACATTGAGGACACTGTGAGGCCTCCTGCCTCCCACTGAGGGATGTGAAGATCAGCTGGTTCCATCACTGCCTCCCTCCCCTGGCCAGAGGGACAAGTACTTTCCATTTACAGAAATCAGGGTCCCAAAATGTGGTTTATCCTCCTCTATCCAGGAGAACAAGCACCTTTCCCCATTTACTGCAGCTTCCCTTAGCAGTCAGGGCACACCTTCATGTTGTGTAGTTGTGACACCCTATGGCCCAAGACTGCTCCCTGCTCTTTTTCCCCAAGGCTGCCTTTGTAGCCACTTACCAGGAGATGGTTTGGACATGAAGTCAAATGTGAGCACATTGGGAATTTTTAGGGCCAGGAGCTGAAGCACCACACTGGCCAGGTTACACCTGCATAGGCAGAAAAAACAACTGAGATAGTTCTCTTCTTTTATTTTGTTCTTTTTTTCATAGAAGCTGAGTCTCAGGCAGTGCTGCAGCTTGACACACAGAAGTCTGATGCTGCTGGTGAAGGCTTACTTCCTAAATCAGGAAGAGGCAAGTCCAAAATCTGGAGGACAGTCAGAACTATTGCTTTATATGTTTGGAGACTCAGTGCCCAACTGTCCACCCTGAGCAAACATTTCCCAGTTTTTCTATTTAGTCCCCACACTCTCATTTTTCTCAAGTCACCCTGCCAGCCCCTACACCCACTTTTGCTGCTCAGTTCTTCCCACAGCTCCAGCTGTAGAAGAGGTGATGGCTCTGTCCTCACCTCTGTATCTCAGGTGTTGTCATTTCCTCAAACCTCTCGAAGTCCTCCTCGGTGTAGAGCCGGTAGCAGATCCCGCTCTCCTGTCTGCCTGCTCTGCCCGTGCGCTGCCAAGCCTGGGCCTTGGACACCTGCTGCACTGCCAGCACCTCCAGGCCAGTTTCTGGGCATGGAAAAGCATCACTCAGTCAGTGCCTGAGGAAGGCACAGCTTTGGAAAACACAGAGGATTAGCAGTAAGAATTCCCAGGGTTTGCCATTCAAATCCGGCTCAGAGCTCACTTGGCTCAGCACCGTGAAGCACAGTGAACTATCCCATGCTGTGTACATGAAGAGAAGATTCATATTTGACAGATTTTTACCCCCTCGTGGCTGTTACTCAAAACAACCCACAAAAACACCACCAAACCCCACACCCCAAACGTGGGACATTAATTTAAACAGCACGGAGGGTGTTTGAAATCCTCTTTCAGTGGGGCTTACGGCCTTCAGCAACGTCTACAAACCCAAACCCTGTTCCTCTTCAGAATTCCTCACCAGGGCTGTACTTCTTGGCTTTCACCATGCCTGTGTCCACAACGAATTTTATGCCAGCAATGGTGATGGAGGTTTCTGCGATGTTGGTGGAGAGGATCACTTTGCGACAGCCCTGCGAGGAAGCAAAATCAAACCCAGGCCAAGGCCACCTCAGAGCAGCTGCAACACAGAAATTCTGCTGCTTTTGGCCAGTGTGGGCCAAGCCCTGCCCCACACTGTGAGCACAAACTGTGCTTGCTGTGCCAGCTCTCAGAAAGTAAGGCAATCTTCAGTTTCTAATCAGTATCTAAAACATTCTTCTGCATTTGCAACAAAATACACCACCAGAACAGCTGTTCTCAATACATCTTTCAACAATTTTGGTTTCACTTCAGGCACAACATTTGTGTTCTTATTTATCTCATAAATGTTCTTATCAAATAAGAACATTTGTGTTCTTATTTATCTCATGCTGCCTCAGGCTCAAAAAAGAGCCTGAGGCAGCATGAATTCCTTTCCTTATGGCCCTGACAAACACTCTCAGGTTCTCAGCTTACTCAGTATTTCCATCATTAGCTTCTCATAAATGTTCTTATCAAATAAGAACATTTGTGTTCTTATTTATCTCATGCTGTTGAGTAGGTAAAAAAGAGCCTGAGGCAGCATGAATTCTTTTCCTTATGGCCCTGACAAACATTCTCAAGTTTTCAGCTTACTCAGTATTTCCACCATTAGCTGTTGTAGCTTTTTTGTAACATGGACAAAAAATTCCTATGAAATGGAAGAAATTTAAATTCCTGTGCCTTCTTCCTTCTTTTTATGATCCCATGTGACTTACTGAATGCATCTGTTAAAACCATCACATTTGCAGTGTATTATATCTCTGGAACCACTCAGCCTGAGCCAACAGAGACTATTGATTCCTATCAGTACAGACTGCTTCAGCCCCTTAAAGCCCACATGTTTCATCCAAAGACTCTTTGAAGTAAAACCCCTCCCATTCCCTCACCTCAGGGGTAGGTTTGAAGGCACGGAGCTGTTGGGAGTGGGGCAGAGAAGCATAAAGGGGCAGCACTGTCATCCGTGGGCAGCCCTCGGGGAGATGCTGGGCAAAGTCTCGACAGGTTTTGGTCATTGCTTCAATTTCCTCCTGACCAGTCAGGAACACCAGGATGTCCTGGCACACAGGAGCTTCCTAGAGGCAGAGGAAAAATAAGTTAGGAGGGTTTGGATAGAAGAGGAGAACTGAGATTGGTAATGAGATGCTCCTGTGCCTTCTAACCCTTCCTTCTTTTTATGATCCCATGTGACTTACTGAATGCATCTGTTAAAACCATCACATTTGCAGTGTATTATATCTCTGGAACCACTCAGCCTGAGCCAACAGAGACTATTGATTCCTATCAGTACAGACTGCTTCAGCCCCTTAAAGCCCACATGTTTCATCCAAAGACTCTTTGAAGTAAAACCCCTCCCATTCCCTCACCTCAGGGGTAGGTTTGAAGGCACGGAGCTGTTGGGAGTGGGGCAGAGAAGCATAAAGGGGCAGCACTGTCATCCGTGGGCAGCCCTCGGGGAGATGCTGGGCAAAGTCTCGACAGGTTTTGGTCATTGCTTCAATTTCCTCCTGACCAGTCAGGAACACCAGGATGTCCTGGCACACAGGAGCTTCCTAGAGGCAGAGGAAAAATAAGTTAGGAGGGTTTGGATAGAAGAGGAGAACTGAGATTGGTAATGAGATGTGGCTCTGGCAGCAAGTCACTGAAGCAGGCTAAGAAGAAAGAGAAGACACACATGTGGTGCAAGGATGCAACAGCCAGAATTCCCAATGAGTTCACCAGAGACAAAGAGTAAACCACATTTTGAGGGACTGAGTGTTAAAAGGATGGAGGAATTGCTGGGTCCTCAAATAACTCCAGGTCAGGCAGAGAGAGCCAGCAAGCACCCAGGTACAGAGAACTCAGGTGAGAAGAACATTGACGTTTTAGGCACGAGCTGACATTATAGAGCTTTGCTTGGCAGTCTCCCTTCAGCTCCAGCCTGGACATACAGGTCCCAAATCCCAACAGCAGCAGCAACTTCAAAGCAGTAAATTCAATGTTTAATGAAACAACACAATCCAGGTGTTTGGCCAGCACAAAACACCAACCCCTGGCACCAGAGGGACACAAACCTGGAGAGACCCTCATACCTGGTGGATTTGGAAGATGGACACCAGTGCTGCCTGCAGGTAGTCACTCTGCCTCTCCTTGGTGTAGAAGATGTCAATGGGATGCTGCCGGCCCTCCAGATAGATGACAGGAGCTCCATTGAAGTACTGGGAGAACAGGTCAACATCCATCGTGGCTGACATGACAATCACCTTCAGGGGGAGCACAGCATGGGTCAGCACTGCAGCTTCCACCCAGCTGGACACCAACCAGCCAAAAGTCAGCTTCTGGGTCCTGAGAACCATGCTCAGAACAGCTCATAGGCTTTGGGACAGAAGAGAGTGATTTCCCCTCGTTAAAGCCATCAGCTTTTTACCACAAGCAGAAAACACTGGTGTGACAGAACGGGCTGGTGTGTGGAATGAGACCATGCAAGGTCCCTGCCAGGCCCCTTCAGCAAAGCCAACATGCTTTCACACCAATTCCTGACATGTCCACCCATCCCATGTGCAGTGCCCTACTTGGGAATTATCATGTTCCATCAGCCACAGCTCCTGCACCTGAAGTGATCTCAGCACTCTGTCTAATCTAAAGGTCATACCCAAGGTGCTTTTGTGGAAAAAAGGGATCATGGTGGTGACCAGATACCTTGGTCAGAGGTGTCATATCAGGCCCACACATCGTAAGTCAGACACCCTTAACTACTGAGATTTAAAGTGACTTTTTAGGAACAGAAAAATGGTCAAAGCTGATATTCCAAACCCTTTGGAAGGCCCCAGGAGATGCCCAGAGCACTCAGAGCCCAGCCCCACCCCGCCCTTCACTGCCATCCTGGATGAACACACTTTCAGTGGCCGCAGGCCTTGTTCCTTTCGCTTCTTTTGAGCGGCTTTGACCACTCCAAAGAGCACATCAGTGTGGATGGTCCTCTCGTGGGCCTCGTCCAGGATAACCACGCTGTACTTGTGCAGCAGGGGGTCCCCGATGGCCTCGCGCAGCAGCATCCCGTCCGTCAGGAACCGCATCCTGGTCTCGGCACACGAGCAGTCATCGAAGCGCACGGTGTAGCCAACCTGGGGGATGCAGCACGGGCACACAGACTGGCATTTCCCACTGAGCCAACCTGGGGGAGGCAGCACGGGCACACAGACTGGCATTTCCCACTGAGCCAACCTGGGGGAGGCAGCACGGGCACACAGACTGGCATTTCCACTGCCATCGTGCCACCAGGAAGGGCTACAAAGCCCCTGGTCACTGCACTGGACAGAGCCAACCAGAAGTGCATGGAAGCTCTGGAAAGCAGAGCAGTTTATCTGCTATCTGTGAGCAGTCCCTCTTCCAAATGTAGCAAGGCACACAAATGATACTCCCAACATCTCTAGTTGGCTTCTTCCTAACTAAAAGTTCATCATAAATGCCGCCCAAGTTCATCTTCCCTCCCTCCCTCCCTCCCGTCCTCGAAATGATTCCAGGCTCTCCAAGGATTTTATGCAGAAGTCTTTCTCTTCTGCCTTTCTCCCCCAGACCTGCACTAACTCAGCTCTCTGCTCCCCTTGACAGTGATTTCTGACACAGGGAGCAATGGAAGAGAGCACAGTATTTTTTTCTTTTATTAATGAATCGGTATTTTTGCAAATGGAACAACCCAGCTCAAGAGGTATAATGCCACAGGGACAGGCCATGCCCACCCTGTCGTGGGACAGGTAAAGAGCAATTTTTGTCCATTCATTTAATTACAAAATCAGAGAATATCCTGAGCTGGAAGGAACACACAGGGATCATCCAGTCCAGCCCCTGGCCCTGCACAGACACCCCAACAATCCCTCCCTGGGCATCCCTGAGAGCATTTTCCAAACTCTCCTGGAGCTCTGGCAGCCTCAGGGCTGTGCCCATTCCCTGGGGAGCCTGGGCAGTGCCAGCACCCTCCAGGGGAAATATCTTTCCCTGATATCTAACCAAGACCTCCCCTGACACAGCTCCAGCTGTTCCCTCAGGTCCTGTCCCTGGCCACAGAGAGCAGAAATTGGAGCTGCCCCTCAGGAGGAAGGTGCAGACTTTGGTGAGGTTTGAGCAAATTCTCCACCTCTCCAGCTGAACAGACCAAGTGCTCTCAGCCACTCCTATTATGTGGCCCCTCCTGACCACTCACCATCTTCATGCTGCTCCTTTGAGCACTCCCTGACAGCTTTTACATCCTTGTTACATTGTGGCACCCAAAACTAATTATGAAATTAAGACTATCCCCCCTGTGGCTGGTTATTATCCTACCCATTGCAGCCTGACAGGGCCCCATCCCCAGAGCAGCCCCAAACCAAAATCAACGTGCAGATAACCTACCAGCTTCCCCAGCTCTGTCCTCTTCTCCTCAGCAACTCTGGCAGCCAGGGTGACAGCTGCCACCCTGCGGGGCTGGGTCACAGCGATGACACCGGGGTGGCCGATCCCCACCTCGTACAGGTACTGAGGGAGCTGGGTGGTCTTCCCCGAGCCTGTTTCTCCTAAGGAATATCAAGGGAATAGAGTTTCCCACCACACTTTTATAGCGTTGTCAAACTCGGTTTTTCATGTTAACTTTTAGCCCTGTTTGAGGACGGGGAAGCCGAAGACAGAGAGGGAAAGTCCCACCACAAGGCAGGGATGGCAGAGATGGCACCCAACGCCCTCCTCTTGCTGCTGGGCCGCTCCTCTGCAGAGCTCCAGCCACACTCTGGTCCAGAAACCTACTCCAGCCTCTCTGGACGTGAAGTGTCTGTGGTGCGACACTAACAGGAGAGACATACAAAGCATTTTTCACTTAGTTACAATAAATGCTGAGCCTTTAGAGTACCAGGTGGGAAGTTGTATATCTGCAGCTCCTGGAAGTCTAACCAAAAGCTTTTTCGTTTGCACTCACAGAAAGCACAATAAAATCAGGGAAAACCCCTTTAAAAAGTGAGGAGAGTCTTCAGAAGAGGAGAGCTTGGCCGTGTGGCTTTGACTGAACTCCAGGCAGATAGCGAAAGGAGAGGGAAATACTTTCGCCTTCTCCACAAAAACCAAATCTCGACTGCCAAAGCACAGAAGTCACTCCCTGCTCACCACACTTCAGACTTACACCCAAACCGTTTCCGGGCAGCTTTCCCAGCCCAGCCCGCTCCGTGGGACAGCGGCCTTGTCCCGGCACTCACCGATGAGGACGGCGGTGTCGAGGCGGCGGAGCCGGGCCAGCAGCGGCCCGCGGGCACCGGAGATGGGCAGGCAGCGGCGCTGCACGTGTGCGGGCGGCGCGGCGCTCTGGGGCTGCGTGCCGGGGGACGCCGCCTTGAACCGCTTGGCCGGAGGCCCCTCTCTGTCCTGAGCCATCGCCCCTCGCGGTCCTGGCCCGCTCCGTCCCGCCGGGGCTGTCCCGCGGCTCCGGCCGCGCTGCACGGGCTCCCTGGCGCAGCGATGACGCCACCGCGCGACGCTGCGCGGAGCATCCTGGGAGTTGTAGTCCCGCCGGTGCCGCCGCCATTTGCAGCGCTGCCGGCTCCGGGCGCCCCTCGGGGCTGGGGAGACTCGGAAAAATCGGGAGCCCCAAAGGGCAGCAAAACGCAGCCAAGGAGGGCAGAGAGCCGGCTGCGGGCAGCGCAGGGACATGTTCCCACTCAGGACTTGTCTCAGAAACAAGCTCCGGAGGGGTTCTCAAACACTGAACTAAAAAGGACACACAAAAATAAGGTTTTTATCTCATTCCTGCCGCATAACCTACACTGAAACAACATTGTCCAGAACACTTCCATTCTTGCTCTCTAGGAGCACTAGAAGGCTGTTCTATAAACAAAAACTGTCCCAAAAATAGACCAAAAACCTGTAAAACCCCTCAAAGCTCCCGTAAGTTTTTATAACCTTTAACAGATAAAAATGCAGACACAAATTACCTCACACATTTTATCAGAATCTAACACACTGCCTGTGGACCATGCATTTCCCCTGAGATCACCACACATTTCTCTCCTGGAGAATAAATTAAAAAAAACCCTAAAACCTGTAGCAAGTTTTTAAAAACAAAATCTGAGACTAAATGAGATAATCACATGTCGTGGGTAAGCCCATCCTCTAAAATGCAGAATGAAGATGCAGCTCTAACTCCTTTTATCTATTATCATATAATCAATAAAACCCCACCCAATACCTTCTATGGTGATTTAAGAACAACTGACCACGATGAGCTGAACTGACCTCCCAATTCCTATGTGGCTGCTCAGAGATATTTATAATCAATGTGGCTTTAAGCTAAATGCCACTCAGTCTCACTGGCCTGTGTTGGAAACAACAAACTTCATCCACAGACACGGATTTCACATCCTGAGCAGACAATGCTGCATCCTGCACTTCTGAGACACTTGTGGGAAAAGCTGCACGTTCTCTGTCTCTTCAAGGACTTGCTTTTCCCAGCCCCTGCTGCCTCAAGACTACAGGATGATACAGAGGATTAACCAAAAAGGATCCACAAGACATTTTATTCAACTCATCATTTTTGAGTCCTCACTCCAGACAAGTTTCCTTCTCTAGTGCTGCAGGTCATCCAGTAACAGCAGAGGGCACATGGGGTGGATTCTGCAGGCACACCTATTTAACCACCAGTGTGAAAACTGGGCACTTGAACACACAGTCCTTGGGGGAAAAACCACCAAAATGTAGCCTCAGCCTGCAGAACATTCCAAAAACCCAAGTGGCACAGTGAAAAGCTGCATGTTGTGTTCCCTGCAGTTCAAAGATGACTGGAGACAGCAGCACCTCAGATTAAACAACCTTTTGCCATTGAAATAGTGACTTAACCTTTCAATCATCTTGCAGTTGTTTTATCCAAGAATAAAAAAAATTGAGTTAAATCCCAAAAAGTCGGGTTTGTCCCCTGTAAAGTTTCCCATAGAGTTTCATGTATCAAATAACTTGAAAAAAATGCTTTAGAAATCACTTTAAAGAAGTACTTGTGTGGCCTTGTTAACTGAAGTTAACAGGAAACAGTTTCCAGTTTTAAATTTTTGGCTCCACTGGATTTAGATGATGTCCAGCACATGAGTTCCCTGATTGGGAAAGGTGCTGGGAGTGCCTCGGGTGAGACTGCCATTTCATAAAGTGCTTGTGTTCCAAACCCTAGAGCTGTCAGAGTCCTCTCTGTGCTGGGAAGGAGAGTCCCCTGGGGCTGGAGCCAGGCCAGTCTCTCCCAGGGGAGCTGGGACAGGCCCAGGCCCTGATTATCCCCCCAGGCGCTGCCCCTCTCCCCAGGCAAAGCCCCCCGGCCGCTCCTCTGGCAAGGGGTTGTAGTTGGGGTCATCCTCTGGCGTGTCAAAGATTGCTTTCCTGCAAAACACAAAGCATGGTTATCCTCCAGACACAGCTTTCACATGCTGCACATGGAACAGTGTCCTCCCTCAAGAACAGCTTGCCCAGGCAGTGGGATTCATGTTCTCCACTTTGGAGCCACCAGGAAGACAACCTCAAATCAAGACTGATGAGGTTAAGCTTCTCCTATTTATGTATAAATATTCTATGCCAGACATCTTCAAGATAGTCTTATGATCCTGTGAAAAACAAGATCAAGACAGCTCACATGCTGCACAGCGTCCTCCCACAAGAACAGCTTGCCCAGGCAATGGGATTCATGCTCTCCAATTTGTAGCCACCAGGAAGGAGATCCCAAATCAAGACTGATGAGGTTCATCCTCTGATATTTATGTACAAATATTCTATGCCAGACATCTTCAGGGTAGTCTTATGATTGTGTGGAAAACAACCATCAGAGGTGTTCTGGGAGAGCACCACAGGGGATTAGAGCACCCACACAAGAGGGAACTGAGTGGGAGCACCACAACTCAATACTATAAACACTGAAGGACTTTTTTTCCCCAAAATTGTGACGTGAGGATGACTTAAAGAAGAAAAAAACCATTACATATATGTAATACCTCAGCCACTGCTCCCACTCAGCAGGGGACACAGTTTTGATGCTGTCAACAAAGCCTGACAAGTGTTACCAGAGAAACCAAAGGTAAAATCCTTTAGCTCTTCTCCCAGTTAAGTTGGTTCCCATTTCAACAAATTCCAGCTCCTTGTTTGAACATGAGTTCAATAAAAAGCACGAAGAGGCACCCCCCAATTCTGTCTCTGCTCAAATGATGGGACTGAATTGCAAACAGTTTTCCAAACAAGCAACTTTTCCATATCTTTTCCAAAGCAGACACCAATACTCACAGGACAGACGGTGTTCTCAGGAGCCTCCCACCACCAGGCTGATTGGGAAAGACATCCTCTAAGAAAAAATATATATGCCCAACAGCAATGCCTGGTATAGAAAGAAAACCAAAAGGTGATTTTTCAGTCGTTCTCCTTTACAACTCCCAAATGCTTTACACTACAGTTTTCAGAAAAACAACATACATTGGTTCCTTCACAGAAAATCTGATGATATAGAAACATAAAACCCAAGGAAGAGAGCTAACAGCAAGTAAAAAGCTTAATTTATACTACAGGATATTAATATTGGGAAAACATCTTGTCATTAGTGAAAATACTGATGTTTTGGCTCTATTACAGTTGATAAAATAGTAATATAAACTATTTTAGTTCAGTAGACTGATGCTACAGTCAGATGGTGCATCAGGGCTGATTCCAAGCAATAAAAGGCCAAAATATCAAAAGCTCTTTCCATCCTTATCACAGCACAAAACATGCTACAATGGCTAGAAATCAGAAAAGCCTAAAAATATAAATATAAAATAATAAATCAATCAGAAGAACTAACACCAAGCACTAGTTAGCCCTTGGATTTGTTCCCATTTTCTCTTTCACGTAAAACACGAGGAGGAACAGAACCTCATGAGATTGTTGCCATTGCTCACCCAGGAGATCCACAATGATGGAGTTCCCCAAAAGCAGAGAAAAGCCCATCAATACCCAGGGCAGAAACGGGGCTTGGAAGATGAGGAGCCCGAAGAAGTTCATGCGGACGTAGGGGTTCCTGCGGCTCCAGACGTACACCAGCATGATGGTGAACGCCTGCCCCAGGAACACCAGGTTCACAAACAGCCCAAAAAGCTGCCATGGCTCGTTAAGGAAACTCTTGTGAGGTCAGGAATTTCACAGCTCAGTTTGTAATCCCGTGTTTTCCACAAGCTGGGAACTCCACTTTCCCAGGTGTGAGTACGTCAAACTACTGTCCATCAATCCAACTGCAGCAGGATTCGGGGCACCTGCAGCATGAATAATCTCATTAAAGCAGAATTTAATTCTTCACAGACAACCTGAGCATGGTCTCACCCCTGAACAGACCCCTGATAACCTCATTTCCACAATCAAGCAGAAAAAAACCTGAAAAACCAGCAACAATCCCAAAGCATTCAAACCACCCTAACAAATACCAGTACACTTTGTGCAACAAACTACATTAAAGTAACAGAAACAACACGGTTTCAGCTCTCCTTCACACTTCTGCATGTTTACTAAAGGAGCTTGGAGTTAAAACAGAAAGGATACAGTCATTAAAAGTCCTCCAAAAAGGAACATAAATACAAAATCTGCCGTGCGACCCCGGAAAGAGCCTTCCTCGAGCATGCGGCAGTAGCGGTATCTGAGGCCAAGGTCAGGAAAACTCCATTGCAAGCGAGTTTAGAGACACATCCAAGCAGAAAATCATTCAATCCTACATCAGCTCAAAAGTGTTTTGTCAATTTACTGCATCACTCGGCTCTTGCTGGATACTTCAGCACAGAGGGTGACCCAGGAGACAAAATGTTACCTGGAATTTTCTCCTGCAACACCAACCCGAAGGATCAGGCTGGTACAAATTTTTAACGCCAAAAAATTAACTGGCAAAACTCTTGACCACTTAAAAAGGAGACCCCAGCCCTTGAAGCCCATTCATGACAGCAGTGAAGTTGGCACTGCTGAATTCCCAGGAACTCAGCCTCTCCTGTGTGCAGGTACAGCACCATTCCTGCCCTCTGGAACTCTGCTTGCCAAGGGAACCAACACAACTTGGTGAAGGATACAAAAAGATCATGTTAAATAAAAAATTAAAGCCAACTGGTCCAAAGAACAAGTAGTTTGTGATTAACCTCCATATCTGGAAATAAGACAAATACAAGGACTTTAAACATGACAGCTTATTTTTATTGTCTAAGTAGATAAGTAACAACGAAACCAAAACCCCCTTTACAGAAAATGAAACTATGCCTATTTTAAGGCATAGTGGTCTGCACTCTGCCTCCAGTAGCTGTGTAAAAAGTGTATTTTTAAAAAGTGTATTTTTAACACAAAAAGTACACTGTTTTGAGAAGACAAACACTTAAAGTCTGCAGCACATTTTAAAATCTCCAGTGCTTCAGAACACACTTACTTGAAAGTGCTTAAATATTAACTCAGGGTTGAAATACAGCTGGAAGGGCGTGATAAGTTCTAATTGCTGAAAAAGAAGAAAACATTTTGAAAGGATCAATACGAGAAACGTACGAAAATGAGGAAAAAGAAAAAATATACACCCACAACGGCAACCCATTCCTGTGTGCCAAAAAGAGCCCAGCAAGTCACACCAGCACTGTGAGTTTTCTGGCAAGCGGGAGCCTCAGTACAACAACCCTCTGGCGCTGTTGTTGTTAATTCGTGCTTTGCGGGGCCTGTTCCGGGAATCCCCTCGCCCAGGGGTCTCGGGGCTCCAGCCCCGGCGCAGAGCGCGGGCGGTGCCTGAGGGCTCCCCTTCCGCGGCCGCCGCGCGCCCGCCCCGCTCCCAGCTCCCGTCACGGCCTCCCTCCCTCCCGGGCCGCCACTGACCACGGCGGCGGTGGTGAGCACGCAGGCGGTGGTGTAGGCCCGGGTCACGGGCGGCACCTGCAGGTACTCCTGCCGGAACGTCTGGTACGCCATCTTGGCGGCCCCGGCCCGCCCGCCTCCGCCACCGCCCGACGCTCCGCGCTCCCATTGGCTGAATCGCAACGCCGTCCCTCCTCTCTGCGCTCTCATTGGTCGACTGCCCAGCTCGCACTCCGGCGCCGCACTCCCATTGGTAGTCTTGCAGTGCCCGCCCACCACCCCATGCTGTCATTGGCCGAGAGGCTGCGCTTGGCCCGCCCACCGAGGGACGGAGCGCTCGGTGATTGGGCGGGAGCGTGCCCTGGCGGGCGCTGATTGGCTACGGGCGGGGCGTCCTGAGGCGGCGCTCGAGCGAGCGGGAAAGCGGCGGCGGTGGCGGTATTGCCGGGTCTCGGAACCGTCCTCGGGCAGCGGCCCCGGCCCCGCGCTCGGCCCGCGAACGCCAGCGGCAGGAGCGGCCCCGCTGCCTGCCTCGGGTAACGCCGGGGAGCCCCGTGAGACCCGCCTCC